GTTGATATTTTTGCAGGGTAGAAAGACAACTCTGCCAGAAATTCTTTACAATAACTTCCTACAGAATCTTTGAACAAAACATTCAGTATACATGAACTTATATCTCAAGATTCCTAAGATTTCAATTTTGCCAGGTTTCTGATTCATTTCATATACTGTCATGTTTGGGTTCAAAATGAAGCGACTTGGTGAAAAAGAAAAGAAATATAGTTTAATCTTATTCTAGTGCTATTATCCTACTTTGGATTTTCTAATAGTTTGATAAAATTCAACAGCAAAGAGTATATTAAGGTATCAAGATATTCTAAAAGTGAAAGTGAAGTCGCTCAGTCATGTCCGACTCTTTGCAACCCCGTGTTCTGTAGCCTAATAGGCTCCTCTGTCCATGGGATTTTCCAGGCAAGAATACTGGAGTGGGTTGTCATTTCTAAAGAGACTGAAAATGCAAAAGTAAAAGCAAATTTCAAACATCTTCATTTATTAGAAAAACAACTATTGCAGACAATGTTGCAACTAGGCTATTCTCGGCATTGTACAGAATGTTTACTCCCTGCATTTTTAAAAACCAAGCTTTTCACTTTTTATTCTATGGTGTCATCTAAAATTTCTATTAATTGCAAAATGCTTGTGGAATATATATGGCATTCATTCTGCTTTATCTTTGTAGATTACAAGATTCTTAAATAAATGAGACCTAAATATTTGCATCCCATGATGTTTCTACATACATTAAAAAAAAAAAAAAATTTAAACCTGGTTCCAGTTTGAATGCTCCTAGGAAGTCAATAATGAAAAAAAAAAAAACCACAACAAAGTACCTAATATGGAAATCACTACTGCTATCCACCAATTTTTCTCAGCCCTCCTTTGAGATATTTCATGGTATTACACTTACCTGTCCTGCTTGAAGTTAGTGGGGACATTTTACTTGCTTTGGCTAGAGATGTGTGAGCAAAAGCAATACGTGTCACCTAAAGGTGGAAGCTCTTAGAGCCAGTGCCTGATTCATCAGGCTGTTTTTCCCTGTAGCACCACAAACAGCAACATCCAAGATTACTGCTGCTTCGTCCCAAGGTCTCTGAGGGCTCACAGTGAGCAGAGCTCCCCTTCTGAGTGGACAGTATCCACGGGTGAGATCCAAAGCTTCCTGGATTTATGGCACTGAGATTTGGGGGTTGCTTGTTATTACAGGTATACTTGTGCCACCGTGTTTTGGAAATGATCAAATTCCCATCAGAATTATAACCTACCTATGTAAGATGAGGCACAGGAAAAAGAAACAAGGCAGATGTCACAGAAGAGTGGACAGGAAAGGGACAGCAAAAGGAAAATAAGCCGAAATCCTTAGTTTAGGTTTCAGGAACCTAAACCTGAAAGTTCAGGTTCCAGAGTTCCAAACTGTATATAATCTTCCTAAAAATAACCAGTCTTGATAAACACCAAAAGTTTATTTTTTAGAGATCATTTGTTTGAAGTTTTAAACAAGTCAAAGCACTAAAATGACATGAGTTGCATACTGGTGGAAGACACAAAATATACATATCACTATGTACTCTCTTATACAATCCAACAAGTATGAAGAGCATAAAACACATTTATTCACATAACACATTTCATCAACTGTTAGAATATGTCAATGACAAGTTGAAGTCCAACAATATTATTTACCAGGCAGTAGAATATTCTGACCCCCAGTGAAGCAGGAAAATGTACACTCCCATCCTTTATAGCCTCACCTTAGAAAATTAGTTTTGAACAATAATGATAACATATATGTGAAGCTTGCACTAAGTTTCACAAAAAGTTCACTTCATTTACTAAATGATCTTACTTGGACTCTGAACTCAGGTTAGGCACAAAACTAAAGCAGGTTTATCATTTTCATACTGAAAATGATCAAACAAGATCATCTGTTTTACAAGACAGATATATCTATGTATACGTGTGTATGTGTTAACTTAGTATTTTTCACTTCAGCAACAACAGATAATTAGAAGCAACTTTCTGCTTTTATAAAAAAAATGTTTAAAGAACATATTTCTATCATCTAGTTAAATCCATCAGTAAAAAGTCTGATATTTTGGGATATACTTAAAGCTAATTATGAAACAGCGCTCTCTCTATGTACACCTAAACACGTCTGCTGGGGCTTTTTAGTCTTGTTTTCTTAAAGTTCACTAACATTAGAAAAAGCCTGCTTTTTTCAAGTAATCTGCCTAGAAAAACATAATCCACCAGAAATAATGTAATCAAATTGTATATGAAGTTGCTTAGATACTATTTTATCCAATGAGAAGGGAAATTCAGTTACTCTGATGGTCTAATGATAAATTTGAAAGTAGACTGTAAAGCTTTAAAAGTGGTAAGCTTGCTGAACACTATTCCCAGTCATTTGAACAAATATCCTTCCCCTTTGAACAAATATATGAAAGTTATTGGTAGATGCTCCACTTTATTATTCATTATATAATAAATAGTCAAACCACATGGAAATACATATAATAACAGAAGTAAAATTGCGAAGTCAGATATGCATATTGTTGTGCTCATTTCATTTCATTTTCTGTGGACAAAAAAGCCTAACACAATGTAAGCACACATATTCTTTGACTAATTTTTTTCCCGATTTTTGGTGTTTATTTCTTGAGTTTAACAGCATCATGAAACGCATCTAGTTGTTCTAAACCTAAGCTCAGATAATAGAGATAACCCTTCCAGGATATGCAGAGAATGACTGCCCTGTCACTCCCCAAAATCTTGCATGCTAAGCTCATGCACTCCCACACACGGCCATGTCACAATATCTCCTCAACACAGACACACATGGCCAGAGCGACATCATAGCAAGAGAGAAACAATTCTGTCATTTGTCTTCTCAAGGAGAAGAGGCCTAAAACTGAGGTTTTCTCCTCCATGTATCTCCTAGATTAGGCTCTATGGAACTGTTCACTGCAGCATCCCAACCAGCCTGAGGAGAAAGGATGGAACTCTGATTCCTTCTACCTCAGCTCACAGAACACCAACACTGTCTCAAGGAACTGCAGGAAATACATATCTCCTCTAAACCATCTATAAATTCTTTTAGTCTTTAAGTGCTCCTAAAACATGTGAGAACATTTATGTAATATAACAGCAATCACAAATTGCAACAGCTTTTTAAAAAGTATATACACTGGAGATAGATAGATACATATATCTTAAAATAACCAACATGTAGTTGTCAGCTTAAACTAAAAGTACACAAAACCTTTGCACTTCCGTGCTCATTTGCACCAACATATCCTTTCCAGTAGTTCAATTTGGCAAGTATCAAGCATCTACTATGTGCTCTACATATGTGAGTGACCTAACTTGGTGTGATTCATCATTTACTGGTCATAAACTAAGAATATCATATACCAGTGTGTATATGCATGTTGCTCTACTTTAAATTCACTGGGAAAAAAAAAACCAGTTGTCTTTAAAGCTTCACTCAGGCTGTTTGCTTGAACAAACATCCTTCTAGTGTATTCATTACATTAAGCATACATTCTTTTAATGTATTCATTAGAATTTACCAACATTCACCAAAGTAAACAAGAACAAGAACTTTTAAACTACCAGTCAAAAGCAAAAATTTGTAAAAATAGTAATTTAAGTCTAATTGATCTGTACAGATTTCCTAGAGAATCTAGTCAGTTTCACAAAGAAGATTAATATTAAAACAGACCCCAACTAATGAAAAAACTAGTTTTTTATAGAAATGCATTTCCCGACTATAAAGCAGAACTAGCTACCCTATGCTCTGACAGACTCGGGACATTTTGAATGATTACTAAAATTCTTCAATTACACAAACAAGCAAAGAAAAAATTTAAAGCATTATTAGGAAATTTGGAGAGAGATTTTTATCTTTTGGGTAACCATTATAAGGGTCTCAAAATGCCTGGTTAATTGCCAAACTTCCCCTTGACACCGGTAGTACAGGCTTTGGAAGATGCCATCTTACAGATTTAAGGAATTCTTCTCAACTGAAATTTCTGATGTCCTTGGTTGTGTGTGAGAGGATGTGTGTGTGTACAAGTGAGAAGAAACACACTAGATGCAGATGTGTTCCCTGACATGGAAATGACCCTGTGTCAATGGCGCTCAGGTAAGGCACTTGACCAGTGTCCTGTGCACCCATCACTTGGGGTTTCACTCCTGCTTGTTTGCATCATCCGTGGCTGAGCTCCTTAGAAACTGCTACAACACAAGTCACCTCTACACCTGCTCACACAGACTTTGTTTCTCTACAGATTACTGATTACGCATGAGCATTTTCAGGAAATGGTGATTACTTGAAAACTGTGCAAATCTATGACTTAAAATCTTCAAAAAAACTGACCTTCATATCAATAAATGCAAGCAGTCATATCTGTCAAATATGACAAAGAAAAGTTCATTCTAAACAGGCTCACAAGATCAGGCAACCTGACAGCCAACCACATATGTGGAAGTCATTATAAGAAGCTACAATCAATCCCCTGTGACATGACAACTCATGTATTAACTGAGGCCATGTAATGAGGAGTAAAACAGACCAGATCAAAAGAGGGTGCCCCATTGCACTGTGCCCGGTCTACATAAAGCAGTGACCCCCTAATTAGCCATTTCACTGTGCAGGTAGTAGAGCAAATATATGCTTCAGACATCAAGAGAGTCACTCATTGCAAAGACAACAATAGCACAGATAAGGCCCAAACTGCTTTCAGTTTGACTCCTATGGCATTATTTATCACATTTACCTCCAGTTGACAAAAGCATGTTAAAATATGTAATTATATAGCTAATTTAACAAATTTAAAAGCCAAGTCTGACAAAAGTGCCCCCATACTATCTGGGTAAGGGTTGATTTTTCCAGTTAAGACTTTCTCTATTTATACAATTAACTGAAATATTGCCAACACTTTTTTAAATTTGGTCCTAGACCTACCCTGATTTACCATCCTATTCAACTAGGTGCTTGTTTGCTGAGTTACTTTCTCTGTAACTGGTAAATCAGAAATAGCAGCAACCTTTAAGGAATTTTTAATGGAGCTAAGCTCCCAAACATGCAAGCTGATGACATGTACTCCACAACAGCGTCTGGTACACACATAGAGATTTCTAAGGACAGCCTTCCGGAGAAGAATATACACCCAAGGATCTAAGATTTGATTCCACGTTGCCATTCGAAGAGTAAAAAGGGTTCTTTCACAGGAATCCTTAAAATCTTGTATATTCATTCCAATGCTGGCCATTGTCACCTGCAAAACAAACAAAATAAAGAAATCAGTTGATAAGACATTTCCTCAGTCCTACAGTTTTTTAACTTAACACACTGCTACATGGTATTTATTTCACTTTCCACAAAGTGATGTTATTTTGCAAAACACTGAGAAAAAGAAATGATAGCAGAATAGCAGAAACATTGACATAGACATCTAAATCCTTTGAATTCAAACTGACGCCAGAGCTACAAAAACAACAACTTATATGGCAAGTCAAATGTGCACAAACAGAATGACCAAAGAGCAAACACTGATCCTAGTAACAGGCCTTTTCTTACTTCTAGGAATAGAACATTCAAAGCCAACATATTTGCAAATTTCGATGAAAAACTAAAGTTTATTTATGCAAATAGATTAAAGTATAGATAAGCTAAAGTTTATATAAACTATAGATAAGAGTTTTAAAATTTTTATTTAGAACAGCTATACATTGTCACTAAGCATGTCTGACTCTTTGTGACCCCATGAAGCCCTCAAGGCTTCTCTATCCATGAGATTTCCCAGGCAAGAAAACTGAAGTGGGTTGCCATTTCCTTCTCCAGGGGATCTTCCCAACCCAGAGATCCTATCCATGTCTCTTGCATTGGCAGGCGAATTCTTTACCACTGAGGCACCAGGGAAGCCCTAGCTATAGATTAGAACTGGTCTAAGCACTGAGCCTAGCTTTAACTTCTCAATGAACATTTGCAGAACAAACAAGATGTCTTTGAAAACACCTTGGATATAAAAACAAATAACAAATAAATGAACAAAAGGTAAAACTGAAAACTTAAGGGGGATTACACTGTTATGTCAGCAGGATTAAGAGACAATGTATGACAAAAACCACTACAATATTGTAAAGTAATTAGCCTCCAACTAATAAAAATAAATGAAAAAAAAGACAATGTAAAAGCCTAAAACCCAAATGAAAAAAAAAATTCAAGTCTTCTTGGTCTTCTTGATGGGTCATTATCAAGAATAAAATGTTTCAATTTGGCTGGTGATACTCATGGTTGAAGGAGAAATGTCCCTTACCAAAACCCTCATTGTCTACACAACAAAATACAAACTCCTTAATTGCCTTTTTGATGACGCATCTGAAATCCATCTCTATAACCTCATCTCTGCTGCCAACATCCTATGCTCCAACCACAGTAAAGGCCTCAACTGTCCCAGATCCACCATGCCCTTCTGAGCTTTGGCTTGTATGACTCTCATTTTGAATCTCTACTCACCGTTTCTCTACCTGACAAACTCCTATCCATCCATCAAACCCCATATCATAATGGGCTCACCTCCATGAAACTTTTCCCAACTTCACTGAGATGAATTAGCAAGTTGTGCTGTCCCAGCACCTTGTCCCTACTCAGCTGTGTCATGTGCCACACTGCATGATAATAATGCATTATTTACTTGCAAATCTATGATCATCCCTTCTTTTTATTTTTATTTCTAATATCTGGTACAAAGCTGGCACCTAAGATGTTCTCAGTAAATGGTAAAATGAGCAAAATTATATTAGTTTTTATTCATTGAGGCTGTTTCTAGAAGAATAGCACCTAGTCATCAGAGAAACATCTGCTCATCCATCACAATGATCTGATATTTTGAGGCCTAGAATGTTTCTAAAAGTAAAGGATTCCAAGGCAGTTTGTTGCCACTAAAAGGAACAAGATCTTGCAGTCCATGCAGATCCTTTGGGAAATGATTCTTTCCTTTATGGTTCCTCTTGTAGGGGAAAAAATGGTCAAAGTGCAGGTCTAAAGATTCTCTAGCTAATAAAATCGACCAAGTTTCACTGCACAAATAATTAGTCCTCAGACAACAGTACCTGGGTTAGGTCCAGATGCTTCTATCACTTCTCCCCAAGTTAGCTAACAGGATTGAAGAAATAAGCCTATATGAGCCCTGTTTCTCTTGAAAGAAAGAAGGGCCAAGGCCGAATTGGCAATTGACTTGAGATACTTTCATGTTTTTTCTTTACTTATCAAATATTTGTTGATTTGCTATGTGCCAGGCAATGTGCTAGGCTCTGAGGACACAGTGGCAAATGAAGCAGGTATTGCCTGTCCTTATGGAACTTACAATCTATTTGCTTTGCCTTTTTTTTTTTTTTTTTTGGATGGAGGTTGGGGAGGAGTGGGTTCAAGAATGAAAGAAGCAATAGTTCTCATGCATGATAAATATTAAGTGAATGCATTTCCTGTTAATGACTACATGTGTTCCGAGAGATCTCAGAGCCCAGCAAAGACATTGCTCTCTGTAGCTGGGAACAAAGATGCTTGGTGCACTTGAATGAAACAGCTGGGCCTAGTTTAGAAACATGCAAGCTTAAAAGGCTTCAGTTACATGACATGCACTTCTCTGACTTTCCTCCATCCCTTTCAAACACCAATGTGGTCAACAGCCATGAAAATACATTGAGTCCTCTGCTGAGGGCAGCCAGTACCCAGGGTTTTTTCCAGAATACCAGGGTAGTGGCCAGACACTCCTCACTCTCCCCTTCCCATGACCCCAGCCCCAGCCTGGAAACAAGGTTGCTCTAGAACCTAGCTTGGGAGAAGCACCAACCAGTTACCTACCAATAAAGATGTGTTGGAGTATTTATGTAAAAGAAAGATCATTAGTATATTGTTGACAATAGCATATTATTGAAAATTCAGGACAACCCACGTATGCAACAAATCATAAATTACGGTAATTTCAAGTAGTGGAAAATATGTAAGCATTTATGTTTGTGATTCAGTCTTATTTTAATATTTATTTTTATTTATTTATTTGGCTGCACTGGGTCTTAGTTGCAGCATATAGGACCTTTTCTTTTTAGTTGTGCCATGCAGGATCCTTTTAGTTGCTAACGCTCAGCTGTGGCATGTAGGATCTAGTTTCCCAATCAAGGATTGAACCCAGGACCCCTGTATTAGGAGCTCAGAGTCTTAGTCACTGAGCCACCAGGTAAGTTCTCAATTTTAATTTTTTAAGGCAAGTTACCAAACTATATTGGCTGTCTGATCCTGATTTTGAAAAACTTTATGTAATTTTGTGCTCACATAGAAAAAAAGCTAGTGTATTTCAACGGGTTTTCCCGGTTAACGTTAGATAGTAGCATTGCAGAGGACTTTGATTTTATCCTGTGCTTTGTCTCTAATTCACTACTATGTTCAATTATGAATCACTTCATAATCTGTACTTTTTTCCTCAAGTAATTTGTTGAAATATACAAGCATTACCTTGTTGTATTGTGCATACCTTTATTGTGCTTTGCAGATACTGTATTTTCTTTTTTTTTTTCCCTACAAATTGAAGGTTTATGGAACCTCGTGTTGTCAGATGATGGTCAGCATTTTTTAGCAATAAAGTATTTTTAATTAAGGTATGTATATACATTGTTTTTTTAAACATAATGCTATTGCAAAGTTAAGAGCTTGCAGGATAGTGTAAAACATAATTGTGTTTGCCCTGGGAATCTAAAATTTCATGACTTACTCTATTGTGATAGTCACTTTACTGTGGTGATCTAAAACCAAACTCATGATATCTCCGAGATTGTTGTTGTTGTGGTTTTAGTTGCTAAGTCATGTCCAACTCTTGGCAACCCATGGACTGTAGACCACCAAGGTACTAAGTACGTGAGATTTCAGGCAAGAATACTAGAGTGGGTTGCCATTTCCTTCTCCAGGGGATCTTCCCAACCCAAAGACTGAATCTGCATCTTTTGCACTGGCAGGCGGATTCTATACCACTGAGCCATCAGGGAAGCCCTTGATCCCCAAAGTAGGCCTGTACTATTGCGCTAAAGACTCAGAACTAATGTTGATCATTTATGAATGTCCATGTTTATGTAAGTGGGGTACTACAGAATTGCTGGGGAATTTCAGCCCTGATAAGCCTGATAGAAGGTTGGGAGTTGGGGTAAGAGCAGGAATGTCTACCATTTTCCCCAGGCTCCATCAACAGTCACCTCACAAACCTTGAAAGCATTCTTCTCTGGCTGGCTCACTGGAACTTGGATTCCAGAGAGCTGTGCATAGATTCTCATCACTCATGCAGTCTTTCATCTAGTTTCCAAGAGCTACTTGACACATAACTATGCTGTGTTATTTTCTAAAATATCTTCCTTTAGAGCTTGGCAGGTTACAGTTAGTCATCTTTGTTAGTGATTAGAACTCTAACTGAGAACTGAAAAGGCCAAGTATTTGGATATTCTATGGAAAAACAAATTAATTAAGTTGATACTTCTCAAGACACTCAACATTAAGACAATAGAGAAATAATGAAATCAAAGAAGTATGTGGGCCAGAATGTTTGTGTTCATTGCTAGTTGCAAAGAGCAAAACAGACAGATGATATAATAAGATCTCCACTTATTTGGGCCACATAGTACAACTAACTGTTAAGGTGACTGCATATTTCCTAGGATTAACACCTAAAAAGATGACCTTTTCATCTTAGGGGATGGGAATGCAAAGGTAGGACATCAAGAGACACCTGGATTAACAGGCAAGTTCGGACTTTGAATACAAAAGGAAGCAGGGCAAAGGTTAACAGAGCTTTGCTAAGAGAACACACTGGTCATAGCAAACACCCTCTTCCAACAACACAAGAGATGAATCTAGATATGAACATCACCAAATGGTCAATACCAAAATCAGACTGATTATATTCTTTGTAGTCAAAGATGGAAAAGCTCTATACAGTCAGCAAAAACAAGACCAGGACCTAACTGTGGCTTAGATCATCAGCTCTTTATTGCAAAATTCAGACTCAAATTGAAGAAAGTAGGGAAAACCCTAGACCACTCAGGTATGACCTAAATCAAATCTCTTATGATTATACAGTAGTGACAAATAGATTAAAGGGATTAGATCAAATAGAGTGCCTGAAGAACTATGAATAATTATTCATAACATTGTACAGGAGGTGGTGACCAAAACCATTCCTAAGAAAAGGGAATGCAAAAAGGCAAAATGGTTGTCTGAGGAGGGCTTACAAAT